AGCTGAGCAGATTGTACATACTGAGTTAACTGTCACTTCCCAAAGTCACTGACCATATATAATCTTTAGTTTACATATCACAACCAATCTATCACAAGTTCCCCCAGACAACAGGTACCTACATGGGAGGCCACAGAGGATCAGAAGCCCATCAGGGGTACTATGGTCCACACTAGGCTCTGGCCAATGAGCACTCATAAACCTTGTTGAAGAACAAAGGCCTCATTGATTGAGTGTGAGGGGAGGGGAAGATGGAGAAGGAGAGCAATAATAAATAAGATGTGGTCCTTACCATCAAGGGGCTTACAACAACTATAATATGGTTATTAATTTTAATAACCATAACAAAACAATACAAATACCTAAGATATACCCTTGAAGTGCTATGATAACTCATAGGAAGGAGAAGACCCTTCTAGCCAGAGGAATCACGGAAGACTTTATAAAGGAGGTAGCATTTAAACTAAACCTTTAAAGATAGGCACAAGTTGAAGAGAAAGGAGGGGTGGGATAGGCACTGGAGATGGTATGAACAAAGAGGCAGGAAAACTTGGGACATTTTTCAGGGAGAGTAGTATAGATGGGCTTGGAAATGCCTTAGAAACATATATTTTATTTAGTAGTAAAGCAGAGTGATTGAAGGGTTTGAAGCAGTAAAGTAACATTCAAGGTTAGAACTCAAAGAAAATTAAAACTCCCTACAATTTACAGATCTGGGAGGATTAGCTCAGTTGTTCAGGGGATGCTACTAATCATGCCAAGTTCATAGGTTCAATCCCAACATATGAGAGCTAAGTTTTGTACAGACTGTTCAATGACCACTGACTGCAAATCTAAGCCCAGTTAACCACTCCGTAAATATGTACTCTAGGTTGGGGGTGGGATGGTAACAAATGAGAATGGATGATTCAGCACTGTTTGTGGTTCTTATGGAAAATGAAATAATAGACAATGCAAAGTTTAGGTAGATCTCAATAAATTTACAACATTTGTAAGCTGACTGTTTTGTATGTATTGATATGCATTAACATAGGATCGATTTATTTGCCATAAGGGAGTAAAAGTTATTATAATGCTTGGGGGGCGGGGGGGATTTCCAAATCACCTAATCTGGAAGTTACCCTTATTCCACCAAACATCCAGATTTTAAACAACCAAATTAATGTCAATATATGCCTGGTTTTGAAAAATCTCTACCTAGTTTAATGTCTGTAAGACGTTCTATAGCTTTGGACACTCACCAGGGCATTTCTTCTAGGTTTGTTTTCAGTGATAACAGAGATAGACCGGGCAAAGGGCTTTGCAGGGGATGCGCTATTAGGACGTCTGGAAACAAGAAGGGGAAGACCTGTCAGGCTGAGTTCCATTCCTTCGAGGTTGTCTTCTGGATAGTAGGCAGGGTTGCTGGAGGCCCGAGCACTTTTCATTGTGATTAAAGCAGATCTAAATCAAGAAAAACAGAGACAAGGAATCACCAGGAAAGATCAAATCTTCTCTATTCTTCCTCCACCAAAGGTAGTTACTAGTCAAGGAAAATGTTATCATCTGTCTCTGACTTAAACAGCCCAGCAACACTAATGTCTACATTCCAGAGGCTCAAATTTCTATAGCTGACATACATTTCTTATGAGCCAAAATTAAGCCATTTCGTTTCCTATTTCAATTCAAAAAGGACTTACAAAGTGCTTACTATGTGTTTAGCACTGCTAAGTCCTTCAATCCTAGCACTTAGATAGGGATAGGACACCTTGCTTTTTATAAGGCAACAATTCTGCTTCCATTTGCCTAAGTCTAAGTTTCATGTTTCAAGGCATCAGAAGTTACTGCTATCATCAGACAAAGCATATAGAGCCTTTCAGCTGTTTCCTGCTGTGCAGTGTAATTTAACAAGGATATAGGCAACATCAGGTCCAGACTGGGATTCTCTCTATAGTTTTCTCAAAGACATTTGTGATTTGCTAGGCTCTTGGGTAGTGGCATAAACACAACCCTCACTATGGAAACCACCCTACCAGCTTCTTTATACTGCAGGGAAGCGAGATCATATTGAGACTCAACAGGTGATAGAGGAGGAAGGAGGGGGAAGAGAGGGAGAAAAAGAAAACAACGACAAAAATATTAAAAATTGATTTTCAAAAAAGCTCAAAATCCTTCACCTTAGGAAAATGACTCCTTTGCCCGCTATTTTTTGCCCTGATCCCTCTTTTGAGTATGAAGACATGTTTAACAGGTAAGTCAAAGTCAAGTCAAGAAGCATGTATTAAGTGCCTGCTATGTGCCAGGCTCTCTGCTAAAGGCCATAACAATAATAATAATAATAATGATAGCTAACATTTACATAGACATTAGGGTTTGCAAAGCACTTTACATTCTAACTAACATGTCCTAGGAAAACAACAGAGCCTAGAAATCTTTCACTGTTGAGCAAAAGGGAGGAGAGCTGTGTAGGTCAAGAGAACACAGACCAAGGCCAGGGCACAAGAATGAAATTAATCATTGGTTTGTAGCCTACCCATCACTCAGGAATACCTACTGAGACCAAAGAAGAGGGTTATCTTTTCATTTTCATTTTTCTTTTTTTTCTTCCATGCAATTGGTCCCATGAGCCACCTTTCCCTCCACCCCTCAAGATCTTTAGTTTGCCCCACCTGTGGCTATTTCACATCGTTTTAAGAGCTTTTAAAAAATATCGCCCCCCAAAAGGGAGGGGGTTATCACCATACACAGCACGCCCTCACCCTGGGAGATTGGGGGGTCTCATCCTTCCTTCCCTCCCCCCACCGCCCAGCATCTCTGGACCCCGAGTAGCCCTTACCTGCTCAGCTCCGTGTAGGTGCAGGAGTCCGGGGACGGGGAGGAGAAAAAAGGACACCCTTTCTCCTCCTTGGGTGTCGAGGGGTACGGGTCGCAGGAGTGTGACCGAACCGGACCCCCACGTCCCTCCTCTTCCCCTCGACCCCAGAGGAGCCCGCCCGCGGTCAGGCTCCACAGCCCCAGGCCGGGCCCGGGGGGCGCCCTCGAAGAGAGGTCGAGTCCAGCCGGCGCGGGGCCCGGCCTTCCCGCTGCGGTGTCCCCTCGCGCCCGTCCCGAGCCGCCGCTCCCCGCTCAGGAGCCCCCCGGAAACAATGAAGCGGGGCGGGCGAGGGGTAAAGGGGGCGACAGGCTAGTGGAGGAGATGGGAGGAAGGGGAGAGAGTAGCGCTGGCAGCTAGCAACCCGCCTGGCACCACCCACCGCGTCAGGCCCGCGAGGCCCGCCCTCCCTCTCCTCTCTCCCTTCCGATTGGCCGAGGCCAGGGCCCGGCTCTGGAGATCTCAGGAATTCACTGGATGGCTCTGCCGTCCATTGGGGGGCCAAGGGGGCGGGATAGGCACGCACAGGCGGAGGACCTGCGATTGGTTGAGACGGAGGAGGCGTGGCCCCGGGCTAGAGGGGCGGGGCGGGGCGTAGAGAGGGTCACTGTTGCAGGGGGTGGGAACCAAAGAGGGAGAGGGTGGTGACCTGTGGGGCCAAGGGGTCAGGGGGAAATTGGGGGTAAAAAAAGGAAAAAGGAAGAAGACGGGAGGCGGTAGATGTGGGGAAAGGGAAGTTAAGAAAGAAAGGTCAGAGAATGAAGACTGGGAGACCTTAAAAGGGCGAGGAATCTGGGAGAGGGGGTGATGGAGGGAAGGTCTTAAAAGATCAGGCTGGGGGGACCCAAGAGGTCCACTTAAGCAACTGGTTTCAGGAAGACTGGGCAGAGTTGCTGTGCTGCCTTTGTTCAGGGGAAGAAAATCCTCACGAAGGCTTCTCCATCAGGGGGCCAAAAGGACTGACAGGCATTCTGATTCTTCACCCAGCCAAATTAGGAAGCTGTTTTTTAAAAACTTCGTTTTTCTTTAACAGAAGCATATCTGGGTTTTTTAAGTTAGATTTTAGTTGATGGCCAGAAGTACAAAATTAAAAGACAAAAGTACAGAACTGTTCAGAGAAGCCAAAGTACCTAATACCACTAAAGGAGGGGTTATTAACCTTTTTTTGTCAGGCAAATCTGGTGAAGCCTGTGGACCCCTTTTTTTCAATGTTTTTCAATGCATATAATAAAATACATAGGATTACAAAAGGAACCAATTATATTCAAAGTTAGCAAAACTGAACCCTTCAAAATCTGCTCTCAAATCTAGGGTACAAATCTATGGTCTGGTTTTCCTCTTCTTTCGTACCACTAATTTTTACTTGAAAGGTTCCCATCGTTTTCACCCCAATAACCAACTCCCTTGTAACAAAGGATAAAAGAGTGAAAAAGTATTTCAGGATTACCAACCCACACATCAGAGCTTGATAGCATATGAAATACTCCATACTCCTAATCCCCCACTAATGCAAAAAAGGAGATACATTTTTCCTCTTTGTAACCAAGCTTGGTTAATCTTATCAAAGTATTGCTTTGTTGTTGTTCTTCCCACTAATACCATGGTAATTGTGCATATTGTTTTCCTGGTTGTTTACCAAAGTAGACTTGAGTTCATGTTTTTCTATGCTTCTGTCTATATAGTTTCCTATGATCACTAAGTATTTTCCAGTGCTTAGTACAATGCTTAGCGCATAGTAAGTACTTAATTAAATGCTTATTGATTTGACTCTTGTAGCACATATTCCATTACATTCATGAGCCACAATTTATTTAGCTATCCAGTAACTGGTAGGCACCTACTTTGTTTCTTCCTTTGCTACAAAAAAAAAATGCTGCCATTAATAATTTTGTGTATATGTGTATCACATAATCTCAATAATAATTTGCAAAGTACCATATATATTTTATTTATCTTCACAAAAAGCCTGTTAGGTGGGCACTATGGGGTTTTGTGATCTCCATTTCACAGATGAGGAAAACGGAAGCTCAGGGAGTTCATGACTTGCCCACCGTCATACAGTTAGACGACGAAGCAGATACATTATCTTCTAAATGTTAGACCAGTAGAATGATCACCATAGACCAAGGACTGCACATTAAGTAAGAAGTTTCTGCTCAACGTAAATATCCAATAGTGTTTATTAAGAAAGTATAAACAACCAGCACCCTTCATGAGTTCCACAGAGATGGGATGCTCCCTGTTCCCTGCTTCCAGGGCTCTCCCCAACCCTCACAGTTTTAAACAATTTATGGCAAGAGTAAGTATGGCCAAAAAGTAGAGACGCTTAACAGAAGACCAACACAAGAATAAAAAAAAAAAAGTGTCAAAAAACAGCAGGCTAGACCACAAGATGTAACCTTGACCTAGAGTACACTCCTTCAACTGGACACTTGTGAAATCTCCATTACTTGGGAGTGAGGAAGGTGGTGGTATAGTTTGGAGATATCATAATTACCATGTAGCAAGGAAGATTTTCTGCAGAATGGCAAGGCATTTAAAAAAATAATTTTCAGGAGGAACACACACACACACACACACACACACACACACACAAACATACACACATCCCAGGATAAAAAACAAAGGGATTACTTGGAGTTTCTAAATCATAGAGGGCAAAACTGCCTAGATCTCTCTTGTTCTAGAGGCACTGATCCAGCAGTTGGCGAGTGGCCCTCCCTGGCTTTGGTAGTGTTCAGGCCAAAAAGCAGAGGGTCAGTGTTTCTGGAAGCACCTTTGCAACCTGCTCTCAAGCACCATAGGAATCCAAATCCAAATGAGCAGGCCAAAGCTAGAGGAGAGATGGGGAAGGAAAAGAAGACACAGCAACGGGCAACATTCCTTGAAATGTCAGCTACTGCCTTCCAAAAGAAGTTAAGACCGACCCAATTTCAAATGATCTAGAAATTACAGTAGCTCAGGCTAAAGCCCTGTGACCTGTTATCTCACCCTGTGGACAGATTTCTATGTTCTCTCACTAATGGACCTTAAAACATAGCCAAAGGCCATCTGGGACTACATACAACTCCTCTACACCACCTATTCAGAGATCTTTAGCCCTCAATGTGACTCAGAGTTGACCTGTCAGGGTGAAAGATACGAAGGAAACATCTGTTGGATCTCACAGAATGGATTCCCCAGAGGGAAATCAACCAAAGGATTCTCTCCCCAGGTTCTATGGGATATATGATCATACAAGGATGATTCTTTCCTCTTCAAACCCTTTTGATCATTAAGGAGTGAAGACAGGCACTTCCTGTAAGGCCTGAAGGTCTTTTTTTCTGCTTGATGAGTTCTTAACAATGCTCCACCTGAAACAGTATGCAACTGAATGCTTAAATTGCCAAAAGAGCACACTCTCAAGATAGAGCCAGAAAGGGCCTGGTTGAATGTTTAGAGCCACACTTAAATTGGCTAAGGGATCTGGAGACTCACTAACCATGAGCCTGCCGAGTGTAAACTCTGGAGAGAACTCACAAATTCTGTTAAGATGAGTACAGCCCAAGAAAGCCAAGTTTCCTAACCACCACCTTACCAAACTCCCCTTTCCCAAAGTCAGGAAGGCCCAGCAGTGTGGTCTAGGATCCACCCTCTCTCCTAAGGCCACAAGGTATTGTTAAACAGAGTCCTTAACTGCTGGAGAGGGGCCAGAGCTCCTTCTGGTGCTAGGGCACCTATGTCACTCACATTCCTGTACTAGCAATGATCAGGGTCCCATAATAATCCTGATCAACTTAACTAGTGGCCTAATTCTTTAAAAGTTCCATGGAAAATTACACACACATAAGGCATGTACGACTCTGAAATATGAAACCAGCTCTACTAGAGGGAAACAAACATTAATGGTGGAAACACAGGTTTTGAGAAGGGATCAAATCTGCTCATTCTTCTTATAATGTTTGAGGAAGGTTCAGCATTGATCAGAAACCTCCTGGTTTTATTCTTTCTGAATGCTCTGGAAATAATACGTGGGACATTCCCTATACATTTAAAATAATTTCCCTTTTCCTGTTGCTGATCAAAAAACCCAAGATGAACACCGGTGCTTTCTGTTTCTCACTTGGATATTGGCTATTACAGTGGCCTGCTTAGTTATTGTAGGGTTGCCATTACTAGGAATTGGTTTGGAGGTAGTGAGAGTTCCCCCAGAGGAAGGATGCAGACACAGCAAAGAGGGATGATGACTGGGATGATGAGATAACACAAGAGTGGAAATTACACTTTGGAGACCCCCAGAAGGGCCCATGAGCACATGTGTGATAATACAAGGTAAGAAGGAAGCCAAGAGACAGTCAAAGGCAGACAGATGTGCAGTGTCCTTCTCAAGACAAGGAAGACAAGGGGCAGTGCCCCAGCCTCAAATGTTGGCCATTCATGCATTTAAAAAGGCAAAGGCAGATAGTTCTGGACTAGGAGCCTCATGAGAGGTAGCTTCTTGGGATGATATCCATGGAGCCTCAGAACTTGAGGCTAACTGGAGCAGCTCTTCTTTAGCAGCCCCAGTCACAACCACGCCTGTGTGAGCCACCAACTCCATGCCAGCAAACAAAGAGCAAGTGCCAGCTGTAGGGGTCAAAAGGCTGCTTTCAGGGTCGGTGTCCGGTTTCAATCTGCCGTTTGTAGTGTTAGTGCCTGATGAGTCTTGGCTAGATCCAGGCCCCGGCTCACCTGAAACTGCCAATCTGGTTTCAGCCTCCTCCATGCTTCTTCCACCAGGAGCCATGTCTCCCTGGGCTGAGACAGGAGGTATTTCCTGGTGTGATGAGGATGCTAGGGCTGTGCCCCTGGGCAGGGAAGAGGATGAACTCATGGGTTGAAGGAATGACTCCCCTCCAGCAAATGGAGAAACATCTGTCAGGAGATCAGATGGGCAGAAAGAGGGGCGGGATGCACCAGTACTGGCCTGAGATGGAGGTCTTTTGTGAGTGGGATGATTTCGGCACAGGGCCTCAAAGTGCCTCAAGATCTGGGAAGCAGCGAGAGAAAGCAGAAGTCAACGCTCTGTGGTTTAAAGAAATACGAATTATGGCCCCAAGGAGAGTAGAATAAGCAGGTTAACTGTTCCCCACATTCATCTGGTTTTCTCTATTTGCCACATTCATCACTGCCACCCCTGGGTGCTTTGATTAGAGGGCTGGGTTAGCAGATCTAACAAATAACAACAGCAACAATAATAACAAATGCCTTTTCACTCACTCTTTTAAAGCAAGAACAGATGCCTCTAACAGATGTATGTGAGAACATGTTGGTCTCTTTGCATGGTATGAGTAACCACAAAGATGCTGCCTCCACAATGCCCCTAGAAAAAGAAGCTCTCCCATACCCAAGCCTGGTAGCCTTCTTACGCCTGTAGGGAGAACTAGACTGGTGCACTGCCTACCTTGGTTGCCTTGTTGGTCACAGGGCCAGGGCTCCCCTCACTAAGCTGCTGCAGCTTCGGTTGGATGACAAAGAAGATATGGTCCTGGGAAAGCAGATCTGAGCACATGAGGGAGAAGATGGCGCACATGGCTCTCTGAGGAGAGGATAAGCGAAGATCAGCCACACACTTCCCAACCTTCTCCAAGTCTCTGCCAAACATGCCTCAGGCCCATGGGCACCTGAAGCGTCCTTCACTGTCTCCTCCTCTGGGAGGCAGAGAGCACTGCCAGCGTCAGCCTGGTTTTGAGCTTGCCTATCTCCCTTCCTGGCTTTTCTTCCCTCACCTAAGTGGGAGGGGAGGGCCCAGGATAATCCTCCTCCTCCTCCTCCTCCTCCTCCTCTTCCTTCTCTACATTCCCAGCCTTCCAGTCCTAATCCCATTAGTTAATCCCTTCGTTCCCGGGGCTTTCCAAATGGTAATGAATCAAGTTCCAGAAGGGGCTATTGGACAACTCTCCAACTCCTAATGTTCTCTCCAACTGCTCAGTTTTTTTTTGGTGGTGGGAGAAAAACAGAGCTAAGGACAAACAGGAACGCTCAGCAAAGACTCTACTTTTATCACGATGAATTATAGCAATCAAAACTATCAGCATTCTGATTGGTAAAGGAGCTGAATGAGGTCTGGAACAGGTCAGGGTCAAAAACACATGGGAGGGAACATCTGAGTGGCCAGCATTGACAACTAGGTGGCACAGTGGATAGAGCACTGGGCCTGGACTCAGGAAGACATGAGTTCAAATCCAGCTTCAGACATATACTAGTGGTGTGACCTCTGTCTGCCTCAATTTCCTCACCTATAAAATGGGGATCATAATAGAACTCACTTCACAGGGCTGTTACGAGGATCAAATGAGACAATATTTGTAAAGCACACAGCACAACACAGCACAGAGTAGGCACTCAATATATCCTTATTCCCTTGCTTGTCTTCCCTGCCCCGCCCTCCCTGCTTATCCCTCTCACCATCTGAACACATTCATTGGGTCTCCCAAGTTCCCGGTTCAAGAGTTCCAGGACTGCTTCACAGTTGAGCAGCCCACACCTACAGAAAAATTAAATGGTGTAGTTGAAAAAGATCTAGCAAAGGAGACTCAAGGGTTCGAGGTGGGCCAGGGAGACAGACCAAGGTGGGGACCAAGAAAAAGGCATCTTGGGCCTGGTGAAAGCTAGCACAGGGAGGCAATATGACTAAGGCTCTGACGCTGGCCTAGAAAAAGTTTTAAAGCTCCCTGGGCATGAGACATTGTCAAGAGAAGGAAAGTGGCATATTCAACACAGGCAGGTAAGGGACTGGAAATGGAAAGTGACTCCAGAGTATTAATTACAGAAGAATGATGGAGCTCAGCCCAGGCTTAGGCTCCAATTGGTCTTATGCTTCCAAAAGGACAGGAGCATCTCCCCTATTTCCTCTCCACCTCCCTCCAGGAATTGGACAGGTCCCCAGCCCAAGAGAACAGAAGCAAGAGAAGCAGCAGCAATGAGCAGAGAGAAGGTATGAGCGGCTCACTCTTTGATGAAATGCTGCACCTCCTCTCGAGTCAGAAAGACCCGAGGCCCCTGGGTCATGGTGCTCACAAGACTCATCTCTTGTAGACAGTCACTCAATGGCACAGCCTCTACCCTGTCAGACAGCACAGCTCCATGTAAATTTTTTGCCAGAAAAGGAAAAAGGTAGGTATGAAAAGGCTGAGAACTTTACAGCGGCTGGGGTTACTTGAAGGGAAAGGCTGAGGAGTCCAAACTCATCTCCTTATCATCACCAAGTGACCTTATGGGGCACTTGGTTACATGACCATTTGGATCCCATCTTAAACTCTGACCTTTATTTCCAAACTCAACTGGATATACATAGGATGTGACATTAGCAAAATAAAATCAAGGCAGTGGAACAGAAGAGGAGAATGAAGTCAGACACACACAGCCAATGAGCTAATGTACTTCTTAGGAGTGTGGGTTGTAGGCAGGCAGGGGTAGTCACTGGAAAGTAACAGTAATGGGTATGAGGGGGAGTCCAGGCAGGAGTTGGAAGGGGATCGTCTTCTCTTTCTCCTTCCTGTCATCTTCCTTTAGTGGACAAATTTGGGAGAAATGAACTAGAACCAACATCCAATTTTAGGTCCCAGAAGGATCCCAATGTCAGTGAAGGGAAACTTGGTTGGAAAGAAAAGGTGCAGATTGAGCAGATTTCTTAATGTTGGGAGACATTCTTTTTATTGTTGGTGCAGTTGTTCTTTTCTTCCTGAAGATTCACACCCACACCCTCCCTGCTCCTATCCCTCTATAACAAATTAGTCAAACAAAACAAATCAACATATTGCCCATGTCTGAAAATGTACGTTTCATTCCACTCCTACAGTCCACCACCCCTTTGTTGGGAAAAGGTGGATTTCCTGCAGAGAACAGAACTAAGACGGCAGTAGCTTAGACCTCTAATCCCTGCCTAGGAATAGAAGGGAGACCTGACAACGACTGTCCTGGTGCCCCTTCTGCTGCAGTTGCTCGATGGCTCACCTTTCTGTTACGTCACCCATCTCCCGGCTGGCTCCCGAGTGGCTGTCGCTGTCGGATTTACTGCCAGAGTTGGAGGCTCGGCTGAGTTCCCCATTCTCCTGAGATGAGTTCTGGGAGCTGGGGTCACTGTCCATCTCCTCCCAGCCGCCCCCCGCCTGCCCAGGCTGGTGCCTCACTGCAGAAATGGGGATGTCAGATAAGCCCCCAAAGAGCCTCAGTCCTTCCCAAGTCACCCGCTCCTCAGTTCTATGGGGACTCCATCCATCGGAGACTCCACGGGAGTAGCCATAAAGGGCAGAGCCCCTGAGGAGAAGGGTCTGTGTTGATCTGCTGGATTCAAGTCAATTCAATACAACAAAGATTTATTAAAGCATCTGTTGTGTACGAGGCACTGTGCTAGGCACAGAGTATGGCAGCTGGCTCTGCTCAAAGGCCTAAAGACGCCATGTTTCTATTTTGCCAAAGCAGAACAAAAAGGAAGCGTGGCTCAAAAGGAGAAAGGACAGAAGGGCAATTGCAAGGCTAGGAGCTGAAGTCTAGGTACCCATTGATGCTCTATGCAACCCTGACACGTCACTGACCTTCAATGGCAGTCTTCTCATCTCTACAAATGGGGCTAATGACAGTAACCTTTACAGAAAACAGCTAAAGGAAAAGACTTGGAAGACTTCCGCAAATACACTCTGCAAAGAGCTAAGTGATGAAAACAGCTGAGATGCACAAGGTGAGACAGAACACAGGAGAAATCAGGCTAAGAACCTTTGAGATACAAGATCCCCCAGCACTCCTCACTCACCGAGGGCTTCTAAACTTCTTATACTCTCGCCCCTTCAGTGACCCACAGTTTAAGAAGTGCTGCACTAATCTATGAGATTAGCCACAGCCAGGCCAATATAAACGGAAACTCAGAGAAAAGATTCTACTTCTACCTCTTCTTTACTCTTCCCTGAACTGTGAGGCTATTTCTTTACTCCCTACCCTCACCCCAGAGACTTTTCTATGCTTCAGCTAGGAATGGCAATGTTCTGTCTCTGATCCTATAGTCTTCTGGTCCCAGGAGTGAAGAAAAGTCTACCTGATCACAACAACCAGGAGCTGAACCTAGATTCTCTCCCCCTTAATTGTTGTTCTCCTTAAGCCTAGTCATCGATGGGTGGCAAGAAAACCAAATGGGAAGGAGGACAAGCCTCTGTGGGGTCATACCTCGGACACTCGGGCTGGGCCCAGGTGGCGGTTTCCTAGGAGCAAAGTGGCCTTGGCCAGCAGAGGGTGCTACTACAGGCTGGTAGGCATCTTCTCTCAGCCCTTGGCTCTGGACAGTGGGACTCCCGTGGCCAGGCAGCACAGCATTAGCCACTACCTCGGCAGCCTTCTGGATGGTGGTGAGAAGAGCTCCACCAGCAAAGCCTGTGCCAGAGGAGAGAAGGGATTATTACAGCCTGCTCCAAATCTCCACGTTACAGTTTTGACTGGAGAGAGGGGTAAGGAATGCAGCAAGAAGGTCAAGCAGAAAAAAGCCCCAGCCTGAAAGTGGGGATACTAACTTCCAGTACCTGCTCTGCCTCAAATTCAAGTGTCACTTGAGCGTGCTAAGCTTCTGTTTCCTCGTCTATAAGGACAAAGCAAGATGACAGATATGAAAATACCTTGAAAAGTTAAAGATGTTACACAAATTTAAGGGACTGATATTATTAGCAAAGAATCGACAGGAGAAAGAAAAAAAGAACAGGAAAAGAGAAGATAGAGAAAGAAGTGAAAACATCTTCCCTGATTAGAATTTCCTGGGTGAGCAATCCCCTGCAAGTCACTGAACCTTGTGCTCTCAGCTGCCTGAGGGGCTGGAGCGGATGATCCTTAAAGGCCCCTTCCAGTGAACATCAGTAGCTAAGATTTATGTACAACTTTAATGTTCACAAACTGCTTTATATATAACATCTCATTTAATCCCACTGGATCCTACTATTACTATCTCCCACTTTGATAAGGAAACAGAGACTCAGTGTTTATGTGGCTTGCCTATGGTCCGTCACCCAGCTACTAAGTTTCTGAGGCAGGATTTGAATCCAGGCCTTCCTGACTCTAGTCCGACGCTCTATCCACTATACCACAGCTATCTCTCAACATTCTATGATCCTACCAAAAAAGAATGACAAAAGAACCGTGACACTGGTGAGGGGAAGGAGAGCAGAGGATCATTTTGATTGTCTCAGACGTTATTTACTGGAAGTCAAACCTCAGGTTTCCTCCTCTGGCCAACCTACGGCCCAGCTCTCAACTTTCTCAACCTCAGGCCAAGGCTACGGTGCCCATACTCTGAGCGTGGCTCTAACATCTGGTACCGGGGCAGCTAGATGGCGCAGTAGATAGAACACTGGCCCTGGATTCAGGAGGACCTGAGTTCAAATCCAGCCTCAGACACATAACACTTACTAGCTGTGTGACCCTGGGCAAGTCACTTAACCCCATTGCCTAGCCAAAAAATAAAATAAATAAGTGAAGTCTGGTACCAGCATTGCTAAGTCCTCATCCTTTAGCCCCATAAACCCTGCTTCAGGAGAACCAAGCTTTTTTTTTTTTTAAGCCCAACTCTGATACAGCACTTCACGTTTTGCAAATAAAGTCTTCCAAACCTTATTCCCTTTGATCAGCTTTCCAAAAGACCCTTCGGCGGCCCAGGTACACCATCCTCAGATGGACAGACCAGTATGAGCAGTAAGAGAAGGCTGGAAATGGAGTCCCACAGTGACTACTCACCAGAGCTCCCCCTGCCCTTGGTGTAGCCAAAACCTTGGAGGGTGCTACAGGAACCGGACTGCGATCCCATACCTAGGAAAAAAGAAAAATACCTCGAGCTGGAAGTAAGGCTGGTCTCGCTAAGGAGCAATTCCACATTTGTTAGGCAGAGAAACTCCAGGGGGAAGGGAACAAAGAGAGAAGACAAGTTTTTCTCCATTTTGACCTAGCAAGTACTAACTTAAAAGGGCCCAATGATAAAAGGGACTGGAAATTGACTCAAAGAGAAAGGAAGTTATCTACTTTACCTGTTGAAGGAAGAGACCTAGGAGACTGAGTGGATGACAATGGCAACAAAGTATCAGAAAACAAAGCACTTGCCAAGTCCTAGAAGAGGAATGGAAAATACGTTAGAGTTCCACCCTCTGCACTCAGCCATCCTAAGAGGGACCTGCTCTGTGCTCTAAGTACCTAGCCCCAGGAAGATGCTAAAAGGGCCTGACTAAACAAACAATAAGGAAAGGAAATTCTTTCCCTGAGACCCAGGAAGGTCTGTAGCAGCAAGCAGAACCTCAAGCACACTCTTGTTCTCTGGGTGAGCAAGAAAAGGAAAATGGGAGACCAATTCCCAGGCGTGAGCCCTGTGCTGATTCTCTCTAAACTCAGAGTGCCTAATGGGCAAGGTGTCCTTGTTACAGCCTAATCCAGAAGGAGGCCTCCTTGTTCCATATTGCATAGATTTAACTCTAGCTTTAAGACTCACCTGGGCAGCCGCTCGGACCTTCTGATACAAGCTGTTTCCATGAAGAGGATCTGGGAGACCACCAAATACTGGAAAATAAAGAGGACAGGGAGTAGGAAAAAAAAAGTGTGAGGCTCTGGACTCAGATACCATTTACTCCCAAATGTACAGAATGGTTTCTTCATTCTGTACATTTAGAAATGGCTCTCATACATGAGTGCTAGATTACCCCAAAAAGCCCTACTTCCCACATCCCTCAATTGCTTCCCCAGAGTCACTGCCTCCTGGTCACTCTGTTCCCTTCTCTAGGACTTAGCACTTGCATGTCTCTCGAGGGTAGTCTCCAGAGAGATTTTCCTCAAAGCCTCCATATCTTGCCCTGAAATGTCACCTCTCCAATAACATCATCAAGAAGAGATCAAAAGGGAATGAGCTGCCACTGATGAAAGACAGATGTAAGAGAGATGAAAGGACAGACCCCAGGTCTGGAAAGGTTGCAAAATTTTGTATTCAATTACTCAAAAGAATTCACAGACTTTTTTTTTTCTGGGGATTTTCAGGAAACAGAAAGCTAACTATCTATGCCTGGTTCAAAAGAGGTCTGGATCAAAGGCACTAGGTGACTGGTGACTTTTCGCAGGGCCTTATCATTTCACTCCTTCATTCACAGTGCAGCTGGCTAGAGCGGTCAGTAGAAACGACGCCCATCCCTGGGACATATTGCCAGGGACATTCCACTAATTAAGAGCCTTTAATTGCTGTAGGACAATACTTTCCTTTAGCTCCTGTCACTATTTTTCATTCCCCTCTTTCCATGAGGACAAGCAGAAGTTCAACTAGCTCTGAGTATAGGCAAATAATGTGAAAAAACTGAGAACCAAGGTCAGGAGCCACAAGTTGAAGGTCCAATTCCAGAACCACCTGTTTCTTTGCTCAAGACAAATCTAAGTTCTCCCTTCCCCCAGCTCCTGAATGGGCTTCCTCTTAATCAGTGACTGTCCCTCAACAGCCATTGGAAGGCCAGGAGAATCATTCAATTTCCCCCTTCAACTGGCTCTGGGGAACAGTCCCTACTGGGTCCATATCCCATAAAGGAGCTCAGACCTTCTCCACCCTGAAACCAAACTTTTATAGTCTTCCCTACCACTCTAGGACGTAGATTTCTGTGAAATTACAATTTCCTAATTAATGTTAGAAAAGGGCCAAATTCTAAACTAAAACTGATAGGAAAAGGAAACTGAATATTCTAACTGAACCCTCCCTTCTTTTCTCTATAATGTCCCAACAGGGACTAGTGTTAAAATTCCCAGATACCTGCTGCTTCCTGGATGAAGGAAGAATTGCGTTTGAGTGCAAGCAGAAAGGATGTAGAGCCATGGCTACACATGTAGAGTAAGATTTTCAGTGCCTGGGAAGAGAGAGGACACCAGGTAAAAGACCACATTGGGCTGCAATGCAGACAACAATGACACATACCCAGAGCCCGGGAAAGCCCCCTACACTACCCTACCATATTCACACATCCTGGTACGGTATCCATGCCACTGTCCTCTTACTTCTCCTAGGGCCATTCTGGAAACTGGGGTCTTGTCTAAGCTCTGGCCTGGCTTGTCTGACTCAACCAGGGCCCTGGGAACCAGCCTGAGGTCCCCACCCTTCCTCTCTCCTGCTTACCTTGAGTTTAACATGGCAGGAGTTGCTCTGTAAGCGGTTCAGGAGGTACTCCAACAGACATTGGCTGCTTCCCACTGACTCATGAGAAATTTCTGGGAGGCAATCATGTTAGGGAAAGGACAGACTCCAGATTACACTGAATGGGAGGGGAAAATTGAGCCTTCTCACTACAACCTCCTATTTTTTTCTATAATCATTTCTTTTGAGGAAAAACTGCAATGATTTAGGTTTAGCTGAAGAAGCAGCAAACAGCCTTCTTCTGTCTTCCCAGTCCCGTTACCCAACCACCTCAATGTGCCTCTTAAATAATCCAATAATCCGATAGGTAATCCCATCAAAAGCCACAGCTCTTTCATGGCCTGTCCCAAAACCTGCTGTTCTTGCCTTCTTGGGAAAAGGATACTAGCAATGTCTTCAAACAGGTAGCCAGGGCATGGGACATCATCATCAGACGTTCCTTTCATCAGAATTGGGAGCTAGATGAGAACAAGAGAATTCCCCTCCATTGGTAATCTTTTCACACAGGGACATCCCTATATCTATGTCTGTTCTTTAGGTATAGGTTAGTTATAGTCCCTTCCATGCATGGAGGGTCTCGTCACCCAAGAAAATGTGACCTAGATACTAGCTCTGCTGGTGTTGCTAATGGGACATTTAGCCCCAAATTTATGTTCACACTTTTTCAATATGCCAGTGAAACAGGTTTGTTGGGGATGCTACTGATGGCTGGGAGTTTAGCGGTAAAAAAGGAAATGTTGCTCCAGCGTGCAGCTTTCCAAGCAAACAGGAGGATTTCTTTCTTGGAATGAGGTGGCCCATAGGTCATAGCTTTCCTGGCAATTAAAAAGACTTAACTTTAAGGTATTTTCATTCATCTACTGATCTAGCAAAAATAAATTAGAATAACAAGGTCCAATACTGGCTGTGCTGTAGGAAAATTCGTGTACTTATTTCTTATTTACTTACATACATGTTTATATACGTTTCTGGTGGCACTCAATATATATGGTTCCAGAAAATGTGGCAATATGTCACAGAAGATACAAAAAGGCTTCTATCTTTTGTCCTTTTACCTGGTTCAAAAATGTTCAGAGCGGTGTTATTTACAATAGTAGAAACAACCCAAACTGTCCAAGAATAGTGTAATGGTAGAACACATAACTGGCACTTGAATGGGCTGTAACACTCTCTTGATGTTAAAATGACAAGGATATGAAGTATATCAGATCATGGAAATGTTTATATGAAATGTTAAGTGAAAAAAGAAACACTAGGTAGGATGTACAACTACGTAAAGGCAAGTGTGTGTATTATCAAAGATTTACAGAGAATTTGGAATGAGCTAAATAATCTAGGGCTAAGTCATTATCAGGCTTCTCCTCCCCCTCAAATATAAAGTAAGGGATGCCTTAGAAAGACAACAAGGACGACAGAAGCTTGCTGGCTCACTCTAACTTTCACTCTAGATTATATTACGATAGACCCCAGTCTGCATCAGCAAAATTGTCTGGATGGAACTAAAACTTGGACAAGCCCATTCCTAGTTTTAGTGTCTTTCAACAGCCTCCTACGTTCCTGACTTAGAACCTAAATCAATTCTGAAGGCTGGTATTGCCCAATAGTAGCAATGATATCACTAGGCATGCTGGTTTTGACAGACAGTAGGGACTGAATAATGCCCACTGCCAACAGAAATGATGCAAAGGGTCAGCCACCTGACATTGATTTAAAGCTGTAATCTTATTGCAGAAATCACTAGTATCGTGTCCTTTTAGGAATTATTATGACATTCTGAACAGGAGGGTAATATGAACTTCATTCAAAAAAGTTGTAAACTCAAAAGAACTTTTAAGTAATTGTGGTAAGGCCTGGTTGGTGGCCACAGAAACCAAGGACTAGAAAGGAAAAAAGAGTTGGGATCCCATTGTGTGCATGTATTGTGGAGAAGAAAGAGGGGAGTGAAAAGAGGGGAGAGTGAAAAGGAGTTGTATTAGAAAATTACAGATCTCTGCTCCTATTTCATAATGTTATGCTCCTGTCATCCCTTCCTTATCAATTGCCATACAATTTAGGAATGAGAAGGGAGTAGCAAGAGTGGATAGAACCACCTAGGGAAGTAAGAGACTATTAGATAGAAATTGAGGAGAGGATGAGGATAAGTGACCACTCTGGGAAGATGCCAGATAGGTTTCTTCCTTATCTCAAACAAGGGGTTCTTAATAGCCCAAGGTCCATGAATTTAAAAAAAAATATTGATAATATTTTTAGATATTCGGATAACTATATTTCAATATAATCAGTACAGCAGTAAACCTTAACAGAGAAGAGGTCAGACTCTGCTTAGGCAGCATGGTAACCTGGTTTCCTTCTAATCCTCCCATTTTACAGGGGAGGAAAACTGAGGCCCAGAGGTTCTTGGCACGTGCAAGCGCAGCCGGAATGGGGGAGGAAAAGGGAGCAGACCTACAGAAGGGAGGCCTGGGCCAGCACAGGCGGCTAGGGAGGGCAGGAGAGAAGGGAGACGGAGGTCGTGGGAGGCCCGGGGCCCTGTCCGGAGTTCTCCCCGAGAACGGGAGGTCAGGCGAGCTGTGACCGGGCAAACGGCTCCGGTCGGGGACGAGGGCGGCGCAGAGGCCTCAGCCTAGGCCTCCTGGGTATCTGGCGGACTCATAGGACTGATTAGCGGGGCTCGGGTCCAGCCTGGTACTCACTCGGTGTAAGAAGCTCAGCCGGTCCCGGAGCTGCGGAGCGGCCATGATCCCCGGACACCCTCACCAGCCGGCTCCGACTTCCGCCAATCACCGCGCCGGAGAGGACACTGTGGGCCAATCGCTCCCGGTGGGGCGGAGCCCCGAGGACGTCCTTAATAAACAAATTGATCTCGGACCAATCCGAAGTCGGAGAACAGAAACAGACGAGGGGTACGAACCAATGGCAAGACTCTGAGAGAATCGAGTGAATCCGTCAGGGAAGTGGGTGATGGTAATGGCGGGGAGGTATGGGGAAATTATCATTAAACCAATAAGAGGGCTCACCTAAAATTAAAGACAGTCGTTCCACCCAATCAGCAGTGAACGGAAGCCGGAAGTAGGAGGATCCAAGATGGCCGCGTGCTGGTGGGAGAGAAAAAGCTTCTCATGTCGGGGACCGGAGCCGTGTGGAGCCGAGTGCGAAGCCGGATACAGAGTTTTCCGGAGAGGCTGGCGACCTGTGGGGTCGAGGTGAGAGGGTCCCTTCTGGGGCTTCCGGGCGGGAGCGCGGAGGCCCTTCCGTTTTAGGGCACTTTGCAGGTCTCAGTCTCAGTCTGTTTCTCCCTCCCTTCCAGGCCGCGGCGTATGGAAAGTGTGTCCAGGCCGCCACGGCCCCTGGCGGGGACCTGAGGAGGAACCTTTGTGCCAAGGAGTTTGAGGCCCTGCGGAATTGCTTCGTGGCAGTTGTACGTACGGCTTCCCCTCCCCCCTCCCCGTTCCTGCCCCCGGCTCCAGCAGGTTCCGCCGCCTACCTGGGCGCGTGGCCTGCGGGGAGGGTGGTGGAGACGGTACAGCCTTAGGTATTGAAAGGGCACCCGAGGAGGTCATTTATTCCAGTCCCCTGCATGAGACGCGAATCTTCGCTACGGCACCCCATACGAGTACTAGACTTTTGAAGACCTCTGCTAGGGAGAACTCACTACCTTTCCAAGGGGGATGGAACATGCCAGAACCTTGTGTTGCATATACCTCTGTTGGGGTGCTGGGAGATGTAGGGGACTGTACTTTCGAGACTCCACTCCTTGCTCATGCAGACCCTTCTCGGATTATCTCAGCTCTCTCTCCTCCACTTTCCCCCCACCCAAGACCAGCTCCAGTGCCCACGGCTGAATCATCCCTCTTTGCACTCCTATGGCACTTACTGTATTCTTCCTTGTAATTATTTCCCCTGTCAGTAACATCTTATTAATAGATTGTAGAGTAGAGGCTTTTTTTTTTCCTTTTTGTTATCTTTACCATTCAGAGTGTCCTGAACATAACAGGTGTGCAGGCTTGTTTGGAAGGAAGGACTAAATTTTTTCCTGTCTTCAAGGAGATTAGTGTAAAGGATCATAGAACCATAGATCTGGAGCTCGAAGGGACCTGAACGACTTCCCAATCCAACCCTCTTATTGTACAAGTGACTGAAACCTAAGGAGGTTAAAAGACTTGCCTAAGTTTCCAACACAAATGAATAGAAGCCTATACATCCAGACAAAGTTGTACTGGGGATAAAGGCTGCTGGAGCAATGAGTCCTTAAAAAAATCCTAGACTGGGGTTTAGTAAATGGAATGGGATTCCTTACTGCTAAGTAATCCTCTGCTGTTTATCTGTGGAGTGAGTTTTTCGATGACAGAGTTTCCAGAATGAATAAACAAATAAGTTAGCATAACAGTGTAATGGAGGTTAAGTCTTTTTTCAGGTCTTGGACTGCTATTAACTCTACTCAAGAAATGCTTAAAACAGGAAAGGCTTATAAGTGCATATTGACAACCACTTAAAATATGAAATAGTAACCTATTATACCTGTTAGATTCTCCCAGGAGATTGATACTTAAAATATCAAAACAAGACATTTTGCAGGATTACTGAATAGCAATGTTACATTAACTCCTCACTGTCCAAATTAATTCTTTTTGAATCTATGTGTTATTGGGTAGTGAAGATTTTTAATAAAATGGAATGTCCAGTTTTGGTTACCTTTATAAGAGTTGTGAATATACTGCATTATGCCCAGGGAATATTTATTTAAATGCATAAAAGAATTGCTGTGGGTATCAAAACCCTGTGGCCAGTTTCAAGTTGAGTCTCTCCAAATTTTAGCTGTCCTCTAGTAACAGATACATAGACCATCACTATCCTGAAAATGAAGCCTTTCTTGCCCTTCAAGTGTTAGGACCTCAGTCGACAAGAGATAACTAAAGGGTTACATGATTATTATACGTGAAAGGTTTTTACAGAGTGATTTTTGGCAGTTAGAGCCACACGTGATTAAACTGGAACAAATGCTTTTAAACTATACATATAACATTTCAGTTGAACATAAGGGATACTTTCTTAAACACCTGGATGATCAAAGTATGAATGCTCTACTGAAAGAGTTTATATAATTGCAATTAAAAAGCAAAATCGAGATCCAGATAGCCTGTGCCCTTGCCAGAGGCCACACACTGCCTGTACTGCTGAAGAGCCTAGTTTTTTCTCTCATCCAGTAAGTCTATCCTGCATTGATTGCTTTTTCATTATTTCATTATTTATATCTGAAAACAGCTTCACTGTTTTGGGTTAGCAACCCTTTTTTGGTGGTGGGTAAAGAAAGGGGAAAGGAAGAGGAGGAATGTTCTTCTGCCTAGTTACTTAGCACTGGAAATGGCTTGGTGAGAAAGGAAAGGTGAAATCCAAGTTCAGAAATGAATTATTTAACCTATTTCCATCAACAGGAAAAGCTTAATATTAAATATGCCATCCTTGGGAAAATTATATTGCCGTACCCCCATAAGTAGTGTCGTGCTTTAATTTTTCCTAGTGTGAATCACTAATCTATCCATATTTTAACAGGTTCCCCTTATGACCAAAGGCAGATATAAAGGATTGGGGTTAGGAGATGTAAGCTATAGATATGCTATAGACCAAAACTAATGAGAATATGAGAGAACAAACTCAGGACCTTGGCTAGGGCACCATAATCAAACTAGGGGTTATAGGCAAACTTGATGAACAGATTCATTTATCTTGTTATTATGGCAGGGTAGGCAGTTGGCAAATTCTTCCCTTTCCCGACAATGCTTGGTTTCCTATCTTTTCATAACAGAATGTTGTGTTTAATATTAAAGCAATCCATTGACACCAGATACTTTTATCATTTCAGGCCAAGAAGACCTTGAACTGAGGCATTAGGATGGGCTTTGAATCACTGGAATTTACCTTCCACTTGGTGCTACCCATAAGCATGAAGTCATATTTTACCTACAGTACCAAGGTAGTGAACACCTGAAGCTCTTAGAAGTGAAACAAAAGGGTTTTTTTTTGTTTTAAGGATGTGCATGAGCACACTTGCACATACTCATACACGTTTACACATATTATGTATATGCGCACATAGACACATAAAAGCCTAACAGAATTAGCCAGGATGGTGGTAGGAGTTATTTTGCAAACTTGTGTAAATAAAGATTTTGGTTAGAGTGGGATCTAATTTAATTAAAAATAAAGTCTGAGTTTAAATTTAGCTTTATAAGTATATATTGTGACTTGACTTTTCTGAGACTGAGTGCCATGCCTATAGAAAATTTAACAACCCTCAAGAAACGAGAGCTCTGGTAAGTGTCCCACTCCTATGTAAGGACTTGAAAAACAAGAGAAAAGTGATTAGCCTTAGCCATATAAAGTAAGCCCTAGTTTTTATGTTTTAAATTTCATTATGAACTTGGATGTCAAACATGAACATTTCAACATACAAAAGAGGATTAAATGTGAGATGGAATTCTTTAGTTTTTTAAAGAGCGTATTTAGTTTAACACAATAATAAGAATGAGCAGGGCAGTTTTTCCCCTTTGAACTATTTTGTATTTAAAAAAGTTTTTCTGGTGATCTTTGCTTCTTTTGTATTGCCATCACTGCTCATCAATTTTGCCTCCTTCCTGCCCACAACAGAAGCCCCTGTAACAAATTAGTATGGTTAAGGAAAACTAATACACTGCTCATGGCTGAAAATGTTTAACTCATTCTATACATTGATTCCATCACCTATCATCTGCCAAATGGTAGGAAGAATGATTCATCATGAGTCTTTTGAAGTCATGATTGGTCATTGCATTAATCAGAGCTCGGTAGTCTTTCAGAGCTGTTTTCCTTTAAATTATTATGTTCATTGTGTAAATTGTTTTGGTTCTCACTTCCATCTGCATAATTCAAGTGTTATCAGGTATGACATTTCTTGTAATACAGTACTGTCTCCTTTCACTTAGACATAATTTGTATAGCCATTTACCATTATGTTTTTTTGCAGCTAACCAATTGACTTTAATAAGTCGACCCTAAGAAAAAATTGCCCTTGCCCCCATAAAATACCCATGCTCCTACTTTTGCCTGTTAAAGAATTTGCATTTCTTTGCTCACATCAGATCTAACAGATAGTTGTCTGGCTTTTACCTTCACTAAGCTTTGTATCTCCATGAAACTCTGGCCTACCTCTCTCAGCCAAATTACTGTAATTCAGTCAGGAAAGGCTGAGGACTGGCAGATAGATGCCTTAGATAGTGGGAAAGACATGGAAGGATGGAGGACTTGACATGTCTGTGTGGATGCCTGGGGAAGGAGAGAGGTGTTCAATACTTCCAACTATATTCCTCTTCAGAAAACGTCCTTCTAAATACTATCCTGTTTCTTCCTATGATAAGAATGGTATTTATTTTGCTTTGGCTGGAGGTAGTTTCCCTTTAAGGAGAAAAGGAGGTACCTAGGTGGTACAGTAATTAGAGTGCTGGGCCTGGTGTCAGGAGGAGAGTTCAAATCTGGACCCAGATACTCTGACCTGGTAAGTCATTTAACTTCTGTCTGTCTCTGTTTTCTCACCTGTAAAATGGAGATGATAATAGCTTCTACCTTCCAGGATTGTCATGAGGATCAAATGTAATAGTGTTTGTAAAGAACTTAGTACACAGTAGGTATTTAATAAATGTGTGTTCCCTTCCCCTTTCCTTCCTTGGAAGTGGTTGGTCTGGAGGACTACAGGTATAAAAAGCCAAGCCTATGGCATCTGCCCCAGAAAGGTTTAGTTGAATT